TGATTTATTATTAATTTTTTGATTTTTTTCTAAAATTAAAAAAAAAAAGATTTTGAGAACTTAAACGATAGAATTCGACACAAAATCGATAGAGCTCATGGCATAGCAATGAGTTTTGATTGTTAGCGTGATCTAGATCAAATCCCACTTGTCTAAATCCATTTTGAGTTCCGGCCATTTTAGTCACATATTTTACGGCATCCTCAATTATTCAAAAATTATCAAAAAATTTAAAATTACATAAAAATTATTAAAAAATAAAAAATTACAATATAACTGATTAAAATAAAAGTACGTATTGTTTGGAGTTTAAATTGGACTCTCCTTTGATTTATTATTAAGTTTTTTAAAATTGGACTCTCCTTTGTTTAAGTTTTTTTCAAAATAAAAAAATAGGATTATAAAAAAATTAAAATTTATATGAAAAATTATAAAAAATTACAATCTAACTGATTAAAATAAAAGTATATACTGTCTAAAGTTTAAAAAATTTGACAGTGCCGAATTTGGACACTGCTATGATTTATTATTATCTTTTTAAATTATTTCCTAAAATGAAAAAAATGGGATTTTAAAGGTCTAAACGATAGAATTCAGTGCAAAACTAATAGAGCTCATCGCATAACTATGAGTCTTGATTGTTGGCTCGATCCGAATCAAATTCCACTGATCTCAATCCATTATGAGCCCGAGTCATTTCAGCCACCTATTTTACATCATCCTCAATTATTTAAAATTTATCAAAAATTAGACCTATGTATTCAGTCCAATCAACTAACTCTAAAATTAATTGTAACTATGTGTAAAATTTCACAATGTAAAAAATTTGCTCCGGACCTTTTCGAATAATACGGGTTGTGAATCTTACTAAAAAATTTTCACCGGACAATATATTTATTTATTTTTACAGTTTAATAGTATATACATTCGATGTAGAATAACGAAATGCCGCACTTTCAGATTGCATATGTGTATTAACTAAACTAGCCTCGACAAATATACAAGAAAGATAAATACAAATAACAGTCTAATGAATTTGTTTTATTCGGGTAATCCTGATCAACAAGAACACGAAATTAAATAAAATTAAAAATTATCCAAACTGGCAAAAAACTCAGGTGACGTATCGTATTTAATGAATATTGACTATTTACCTCAATAATGCAGCAAAACTACCAAGAAAAGTGGGGCCGTAAGGACAGTGAAACTTTGTCCTTCCCACACCTTCGAGAATGGTACTCTATTATATTTATAATGAAATTACATATGTATATTAATTAAATTAGACTCTACAATATATACAAATAATAGTTTAATACTTCCTTATTGCTCCATTTGATAAGAATGATGGAAAGTAGAAGAAATACACTCTTTATCCTTCAAGGATTAAAAGTACGAATGATACACTTTCCTTCTTTTATATTTGGTTGGATAGATGAAAAATAAAAATGACTATTTTTTTTTGTGCTGACTAAGATTAAGGGTGACAATCGAGTCATGTCATGTCAGATTCGTGTTGAGTCATTGCGGGTTTGTGTCAAATATTAGTCACACCAACTTAACTCATTTAATTCATTATGTTGTGTTGAGTTACGAGTTGATCTGTTTATTTTTGTATCGAGTTCGAGTCGTGTCATCGTGTTGAGTCGAAAATTAACTAAACGAGCTCATGGAATAAGATTGCATATGTGTATTAACTAAACTAGCCTCGACAAATATACAAGAAAGATAAATACAAATAACAGTCTAATGAATTTGTTTTATTCGGGTAATCCTGATCAACAAGAACACGAAATTAAATAAAATTAAAAATTATCCAAACTGGCAAAAAACTCAGGTGACGTATCGTATTTAATGAATATTGACTATTTACCTCAATAATGCAGCAAAACTACCAAGAAAAGTGGGGCCGTAAGGACAGTGAAACTTTGTCCTTCCCACACCTTCGAGAATGGTACTCTATGATATTTATAATGAAATTACATATGTATATTGATTAAATTAGACTCTACAACATATACAAATAATAGTTTAATACTTCCTTATTGCTCCATTTGATAAGAATGATGGAAAGTAGAAGAAATACACTCTTTATCCTTCAAGGATTAAAAGTACGAATGATACACTTTCCTTCTTTTATATTTGGTTGGATAGATGAAAAATAAAAATGACTATTTTTTTTTGTGCTGACTAAGATTAAGGGTGACAATCGAGTCATGTCATGTCAGATTCGTGTTGAGTCATTGCGGGTTTGTGTCAAATATTAGTCACACCAACTTAACTCATTTAATTCATTATGTTGTGTTGAGTTACGAGTTGATCTGTTTATTTTTGTATCGAGTTCGAGTCGTGTCATCGTGTTGAGTCGAAAATTAACTAAACGAGCTCATGGAATAAGATTGCATATGTGTATTAACTAAACTAGCCTCGACAAATATACAAGAAAGATAAATACAAATAACAGTCTAATGAATTTGTTTTATTCGGGTAATCCTGATCAACAAGAACACGAAATTAAATAAAATTAAAAATTATCCAAACTGGCAAAAAACTCAGGTGACGTATCGTATTTAATGAATATTGACTATTTACCTCAATAATGCAGCAAAACTACCAAGAAAAGTGGGGCCGTAAGGACAGTGAAACTTTGTCCTTCCCACACCTTCGAGAATGGTACTCTATTATATTTATAATGAAATTACATATGTATATTAATTAAATTAGACTCTACAATATATACAAATAATAGTTTAATACTTCCTTATTGCTCCATTTGATAAGAATGATGGAAAGTAGAAGAAATACACTTTTTATCCTTCAAGGATTAAAAGTACGAATGATACACTTTCCTTCTTTTATATTTGGTTGGATAGATGAAAAATAAAAATGACTATTTTTTTTTGTGCTGACTAAGATTAAGGGTGACAATCGAGTCATGTCATGTCAGATTCGTGTTGAGTCATTGCGGGTTTGTGTCAAATATTAGTCACACCAACTTAACTCATTTAATTCATTATGTTGTGTTGAGTTACGAGTTGATCTGTTTATTTTTGTATCGAGTTCGAGTCGTGTCATCGTGTTGAGTCGAAAATTTTCACCCTTAGTTAAGACAGAAAATATAAATTTTTTTTAATTTAAAATTTTAATTTAAATTTTTTTTAAAAAAAATAAAAAAAAAAATATATATATATATATATATTTTACCATTGTATTTTTATATGAAGTTAATATATATATATATAGANCAGTACAAAAAAAAAAAATTTAATTATTTTTATTTTTCATCTATTCAACCGCACATAAAAGAAAAACAATGTTTCATTCATACGTTCATTTAATAAAAGATAAAAAATATATTTCTCCTAAATTTTATCCTTCTTAAGTCTCTTGAACTATTTACCTTTTAATATACCTTTCGGAGGATTCTTGTTAACCAAGTCAAAAACATTCTCGTGATGTTTAAGGTTTCTTGTTTACCAAGTTTTTTGACTAATGTTACAATGTCAACATTTTCGAAATGTCAGAGGTTTCTTGTTTGCCAAGTGTCTTTAATTATGTAACAATTTTCGTTGACCAGGATACCTTGAAATGCATGTCTGTGTTTTTCCTTGAGTATCTGAAGCCGCCGCGGAGGCAAAGCCACAAATTTTGTCAAGAATTGACATTTTACTTAAAAATTTTAAATTATTTTTTCTCAATCAATAGAAATAATATAATATATTTAAATTTATTGTATTGTAATTAATACTTAAAAATTCATAAAATGCAAAAAAGGTCAAACATTGGTAAATATAAAATAAAAAAATAAAAAATAAAAAGACTAATTACAACCATTCACAATAAATGAAATTAATAAATTGAGTAAAAAATATTATATTCTTTCTCTATATAGCCAATGAAATTATTATCTATTGATCATTCATTCAGTTATGCATCCTAATTTTATAATTTCTATAACTAAAAAATGAGTTCAATCTTTCAAAAACTTACTATATGTATTCATAAAATATTCAATGTACATACAAAAGGTTTATAGTTATATAGGTATTAGACTATGCTAATTAATAGAACAAAAAATAATAGAATCGACACACTAAAATATATTTATAATTATTTTAAAAAAATATTATATATATATATGCACACACACACACACGTAAGTAATATTTGTCGAGATGGATTTGAGAAAAATAATCCAAAGCACCCTCAAATCTCATATTTGAATTGAAAGTTTAATCCTAGGTTTCCAAATCTGAGCCGTAGCTGACTCAAAAATTAAACCTATAATCATGGGTTTCATCAAACCAAGGGATATGTGAGTTTGGAAAGATGGGTTAAGGGTTAAGTATGCAAAAAATAATTGTACTCCTTAACATAGATATGAATTGGATTGATCAAGAGTAAAATAGTCATTTAAAAAATAAATAATTAATAATAATTATGATATATCTGTAAGTCCTACATGTGTATGTGTTGCATACCAAATATGAATAAGGACCACATTAAATATTGAATCTCATCTTTATAAAGAATGGTTTGACAGTATATTATTTAGAGTCTTTATTGGGCCCCAAATGACATGACATCAAATAAAAAAATCCAAGTCAACTGTCATATCATTTGAGCTCTAAATTTGATTCTAAAATTTAATCAATGTAACATTACTCTTAAAAAGATTTAGAGAAACTAATTCAAACTCTTCTTTAAAAAAAAATCAAGTCAAACAAGCCCTAACTGCCCTGTCCTGGGCGTGTGACTTTTTATTAGATTGGTTGAGTTTCATTGTAATGTTGTTCTTTTAAAAATAAAAAAGCCTACAGAGAGTGCTACATGCGAATTCCAACATGGATTTTTCAACGGAGGGTCATTAATATTCAACAAAGTAAAGCGCCAGTAGTCGTGTATGTTGACTGGTGTGTGTTGTGGTTGCCTATAAAGTGGTGTCTATCTTTCCCAAATGTTTAATCCTTATTACACCGTACTAAATCATATCAAAATCCATGGAGTTCCTTCTCCTAGTCACTCCAGCTTCAGTTGCTGGACTATTTGCTTTCCTAATCTTTCTCTGCTATCTGCTGTGGATATCAAAAACAAGTATCAGAAACAATAGAAAGAAAACAACACCACCTGAAGCTTCAGGCGCATGGCCAGTCATCGGCCACCTTCATCTTCTTGGTGGCTCCAAGCTGATACACAAAACCTTGGGGTCTATGGCGGATAAGTATGGACCAATCTTCACCATAAAGCTTGGTGTTCATAACACTTTGGTGGTGAGTGACTGTAATATAGCTAAAGAGTCCTACACTACCAAAGATAAGGTCTTTGCGGACCGTCCCAAATCCGTTGCAGCAGAGGTCATGGGCTATAACTATGCTATGTTTGGCCTTGGCCCTTACGGACCATACTGGCGACATGTCCGGAAGGTCGTCGTCATTCAGCTTCTCTCCAAATACCGGCTCGAGATGCTCGGACACATCCGAGTGTCTGAAGTGAAGACGTCCATAAAAGAAATCTATGAAATTTGGCTGACAAAAAGAAGTACTGTTTCTTCCAATGTGGTGATGATGGAGATGAAGGAATGGTTTGGGAACTTAACTCTGAACATACTCATGAGGATGGTTGTGGGGAAGCGATATTCCGGTGATGAGGAGGAGGGAGGCCGAACTAAGAAGGCCATAAGAGAGTATTTTGAATTAACGAGCACGTCTATGGTGGCTGATGCCATTCCTTTCCTGAGATGGTTGGATCTGGGAGGGCACGAAAAGGCGATGAAGCATATGGCGAAGGAGATGGACATCATTCTTGAAGGCTGGTTAAAAGAGCATAAGAACAAGAGAAACTCTAGGCAGCTGGAGAAGGATGAACAAGACTTCATGGATGTGGTGATTCAGTCTGTTCTTGATGATACCTCTGCACAAGGGTTTTCCAGTTTTGATGACAATACCATTATTAAAGCTACATGCTTGGTACGTAATTGCTTACAAGACCTATCAAACTTGATTTATTATTATGGTTCGAATATAACTGCTCATATATGGAGTTGACTATGGGACAGATAATTTTTTACGCCATTGATCTCATTAGTGGTTGATGTTATTATATTTTCGGATAATTTTATCACTATTATGATACCCAGAAAATGTAAAAATAGTTGTTATACAAGTGATAATAACACCTATAAATATAGTAATTTTTTTGTATAAAAAAAGTAATAAAAATAATTACAAAAAATGTGATAAAAATACTTAAAACAATAATAAAAATATACACAAAAGTAAAAAAAAAAATTAATTGTGAAACGAGATACAAAATTTTTAAAAACACCTATTAAAATAGTAAAAATTAGAGACACGGTATTATATTTTTTCCTTCGATATTAAATCAATTCCTTTTATTGAGATTTTTGTTCCGAAAACTTTAATGTAAAGCTTTTTGTACTATTTTCAAAAAATCATGATCAAGGCAAGTTCAACTCATTTGGTATCTGTTAAATTTGGGATTTAGTTAGGTTTATGTCATGGTGGAAGTTTTTTTGTTTTTTGGTTTAATGAGTAAGAATGTTGAATTTAATTTATATATATTTTAACTAATTTTTTCCTAAATTTGATTAAAGACAAATAATTTATGTTAAAATTAAAATATTCGTGAAAGAGAATTTCTAATAAACTTTAATTTCATGAAATTGTCAGTATGCAGATTCAGTAGGACTGACACCATGTTGAAATTTTGATACACAAACTTCTTGTTTCAGGTACTTGTTGGGGGGGGGAANATAAAAATACTTAAAACAATAATAAAAATATACACAAAAGTAAAAAAAAAAATTAATTGTGAAACGAGATACAAAATTTTTAAAAACACCTATTAAAATAGTAAAAATTAGAGACACGGTATTATATTTTTTCCTTCGATATTAAATCAATTCCTTTTATTGAGATTTTTGTTCCGAAAACTTTAATGTAAAGCTTTTTGTACTATTTTCAAAAAATCATGATCAAGGCAAGTTCAACTCATTTGGTATCTGTTAAATTTGGGATTTAGTTAGGTTTATGTCATGGTGGAAGTTTTTTTGTTTTTTGGTTTAATGAGTAAGAATGTTGAATTTAATTTATATATATTTTAACTAATTTTTTCCTAAATTTGATTAAAGACAAATAATTTATGTTAAAATTAAAATATTCGTGTAAGAGAATTTCTAATAAACTTTAATTTCATGAAATTGTCAGTATGCAGATTCAGTAGGACTGACACCATGGTGAAATTTTGATACACAAACTTCTTGTTTCAGGTACTTCTTGGGGGGGGAACTGACACCACAACAGTGACCTTAACGTGGGCTTTGTCTTTACTGCTCAACAACCCCCACGTGTTGAAAAAGGCTCAAGATGAGCTGGACATCCACGTCGGAAGAGGGAGACAGGTGGACGAATCAGACATCAAGAAATTGGTGTACCTTCAAGCCATCGTCAAAGAAACATTGCGCCTATACCCAGCTTCACCACTCCCATTACCTCATCTCTCCATGGAAGACTGCATTCTTGGTGGGTACAACATCCCCAAAGGCACCCACCTACTGATTAACCTGTGGAAGATCCACCGCGACCCTCGGGTATGGGTGGATCCAAATGAATTTCGACCCGAGAGATTCTTGACCAGCCACGTGGATGTCGATCTGAGGGGTCAGCATCTCGAATTGATTCCATTTGGTAGCGGGAGAAGAATCTGCCCTGGAATTTCTTTAGCCCTACAGGTTGTGCACCTCGGTCTGGCTAGCTTCATACATGGGTTTGCAGTCACGAGACCATGCGATGAACCAATTGATATGACCGAGGGCCTTGGAATAACCAGCCTCAAAGCCACACCGCTTGAAGTCCTGCTCACCCCACGCCTGTCTTCTAAATTATATGAATAATGTCTATTACATGTGTTTAAGTTAATTCGAACATCTCTGATCGTGAACTAAAAAAAAAAATTAAATAAACTTCATATAATATGCAATAAAAGAGTGCAATGCACACATATAATAAACAATAACCATAGACAATATGGTTTCAATTTTCCTTGTAATGATGTTTGGGAGAGCCTAGTAGTATTGGACACCTTGTGTCCCAAAAAATAAGGTATTATTTTGTCACGACTCTTTCTAGTAATTGCAATTTGTATGTAGGATAACTGTCCGTTGGAATATATTAATCTTATTTTCACTTTGAGAACACGAACCTCTACCATAGGTGTAGAGAAATTAAACTTGAATGAATATTATATTTTATTAAGAAAGACAGGTTTCAAGACACATGTTGCGCACGGACTTTATTTTTTATAATGTACAATGAAGTATCAAAATTATGATTGATAGATACAGTCTATACTTCGAAAGTCGGAAGTCAAATAAAAAGATTGTTCCACAATCCCAACTCAGAAGACCGAGCGATACGCATCAGTCACTACCTGCGTGTTTTCACTCAGAAGAAATCTGATACTTACAATCACACACCTAACACCACAAATGGGCTTCGGAGTTACTGGCGACGAAAGCTCATGCATAGTGTTAGTTTTCTACACATTCAACAATACATGATTAATCATAATCGTTATCGTTATCCTTTAAACAAAAATTACACTCCACCTTAACTATAAAAGCCCTCATAATTAACTTTTGGGAGAAAGGAAACTTATATATTTTTCTCTACATAAATGTCTTACTCTTTAAAAACAATTCTAAACAGAACTCGCTAAACTAACTTAGGCATTGGAGGTGGTTCGGCCGGGACCACACGGATCCCTTACTTCAAGCTTTCTTTACAGGACAAAAGCTTGACAATTGCTGCACTTTGAGAACCGAACTCCAAACACAAGATTCTCTACTGCGATCCATTGATATACTGACTCAATTTATTTATAGCTCCATCAACAATCTATATTCATGTTCCAAACAAAAATATATCAACAATCTTCAACCACAACCCTCCTTTCAATAGTGTTTTTTTTTTATTATTTCATTTTTCGAAAGGAAAATACTTCATTAAACCGAAAATAAAAGATATACAGTCAAGCCCAAAACACATCCTCATGGACACGAGTAATACTCAAATGAGTCTGCTCAACTAANCATTTTTCGAAAGGAAAATACTTCATTAAACCGAAAATAAAAGATATACAGTCAAGCCCAAAACACATCCTCGTGGACACGAGTAATACTCAAATGACTCTGCTCAACTAAAATGAACCCTAAAATATTGTAGAATGCAAATAACAGCTAGACAAAAACACTAACACAACCCAACTCGGTAACATGAGTTGATATGCTCAATAAGCCCACTTTTCAGCCCAAAGCAAATAATTTCATTGGCGTCGTCATGCCACACTGGCCACAGCTTTAGTGCGACACATTTGGATTTAGAGGAATACTTGTTGGACCTAAAAATTTGACTTGACATAATGATGCGGGTTTAATAGAACCATTAAATCAATACCAAGTTCTAATGTTTGATAGGTTTCACAGTCAATCCAAAAGTCATAGTGAATTAGGTCAATAAATTAACTCCCAATAACATTGTTCTTGGATTTAACAACACATAGGTCTGCAAGATCATGTGGGAGCTCCAACAAATTAAAGGTGACAATTGTGTCGTGTCATATTGATCGTATTCATGTCGTGTTATTTGCGGGTTAATGTCGAATATTAATCAAATCAAACTCAATTCATTTAATCAATGGCATCTTATGTACCCAACTATTTTATATCGTGATGACGAATTTATGCTAATTCATATAACCCATAAATCAAAAGTTTAAAAGTTCCAATGCTTTCAATAGTGTTACTTGAGCCTTTATTGACCTAATGTGCTAATACAAGATGATCAAAATGGTCAAGAAAAGCCAACAATCTACTATACTAACATAATTTTCAAAGAATTCAAACAATTTTAGAGCTTTGTATAGATTTTTCACGCGGGCTTCAAGTACAATTGGGTAGGACTAGAATATAATTGGGTCGGCCGAAACATGTGGGAGCGTACTAGGCTGTTGGGTATTGCGAGAATCGAGTAGAACAGCCTATTGGCATTATTGGCGTTCTTGTGCAAAAAAGAGTTTTTGATGTTCGTTTTATTATCAAAAGATTAATGTTACATTGACTAAATTTTGAAATTAAATTTAAAGCTTAAATGATATAGTAGTTAATTATTAGAAATTTTTATTGAGGCTCAAATGACATGACACCAATCAAATAAGCCCAAGTCAACTGTCATATCATTTGGACTCTAAATTTGATCCCAAAATTTAGTCTTAAAATTTAATCAATCTAACATCACTGTTATCAAAATGGATGGTAGGTTCTTTTTGAGTACTTTACCAAACAGGTCTTGAGCACGTCAACTTTGTCCACTTATATAAAAAGGGTGGAGCCTTCGATGACAAGATCATAAAATTTTTGATCGCGTGTGTTACTTTTATCATGGACAAATCTAATTAGTCTAATATAGTGGTCAACTACTGAATTTTTAACACGTCGACTTTGTCGCTCAATGTTTGATCTAAATATGTTTGGGATAGGAAATTTAAGTTTTTGTTTGGACAACATTTCTTCATTACCAAAATGTTTTTGTTAGGTGCTATCACTTGGGCAGGCAATTTTAATATACACGTTTACCTTTTAGCACAATTAAACATGGTTTGATAAATTCCTATTTTTACTGTATCAGAATTTCAAAAAGGTAATAATTTATTTATAACCCGTATCTTGGTCAATCATATAAACTTAAATATAATAAATGCGATATGCACTTAATTTTTACTATATACCTATTGAATTTTTTGAATTTAGTGAATATGAACTATTCATTATTAGAATTAGTGATATCTCATGTCAATTATATCATTATCATTAGCACTAAGAATTTTATTTCACCGATATATATATATATATTTGAATTGATTTCACCAATATTTGAAACCATAGAATAGTTTCATGACAAAAGTGGACTATATATAGTCCAAAAAACCAACCAGAGTATGCCCTCCTAGCAGCCATGGAGTTGATCATCGCCTTTACAGTTCCTCTTTTGGCTGGAATATTTACCTTTCTCTTATTTGTGTACTATGTTATAGGGTTATCAAAAAGTGGCCATGGAGAGTCTCGCAAGAGTAGATCACCACCAGAAGCTGCCGGAGCTTGGCCTTTGATCGGTCACCTCCATCTGTTAAAAGGACCCGAACTGCCTCACAAAACCTTGGAAAACCTGCCAGACAAGTATGGACCGGTCTTCTCAATCCGGCTCGGAGTGCACCGAGCTTTGATAGTAAATACTTGGGAAATAGCTAAAGAGTGTTTTACTATTAATGACAGGGTCATTAGTGTCCGTCCCAGAGCCATAGCATTGGAGCACTTGACCTACAACTACGCCATGTTTGGCTTCAGTCCTTATGGCGAATACTGGCGTGAACTACGCAAGATTGCCACCCTCCAGCTTCTCTCGAACCACCGGCTAGCGATGCTCAATAGTGTTATCGAGTCTGAGGTCAAGGTCTCGATAAAAGGGGTTTATGATTTATGTGTGAAGAACAAGAACGATTCAAAAAAGACTGTGTTGGAGATGAAGAAATGGTTTGGAGGCCTTACTCTAAACCTTATTTTAAGGGTTATGGTGGGGAAATGACAACAACGGACGGTGGCCGAGGAGGCGGCAAAAAATGACCGGTGGCACAAGTTAATGAGGGATTTCCTCGAATGGATGGGGATGTTTGTCATATCTGATTGTTAGGGGTAGAAATCGCGCGTTTGAATCTCATCCTTGAATACCAAGGATTTTGACTGGCCTGCATCCTCTCCTAAGACAATACAGTAACCTTTACCTCTCAGTGTCCGTGTGGAGCTTCGTCCCCCATCGACTGAGAGTCGTCTCCCCCACCCCCTTATAAGCCTGAGCCCTTAAGGATGGGTACCCACTAGCGACCTGATCCACGCCCCCTCCCGGCAGTTAGGGTCTGCCTCTGCCTCAGGAACCCTAGATCTATACGAGGCATGTTCGACATGGCTACCTCGAGGGCGTCCTCCTCATCTAGGGACTACAAGATTTGGAAGTCAGGCTACAAATCTCTCCCCAAAGTCCCCTNGAGGCATGTTCGACATGGCTACCTCGAGGGCGTCCTCCTCGTCTAGGGACTGCAGGATTTGGAAGTCAGGCCACAAATCTCCCCCCGAAGTCTCCACTTCGGCGTACGAAGGAACAAAAGCCTCATTGGCCCCGAACTCCTCAACTTCAACAACACCCTCTACTTCCACCTTTGTAGCCCGGTCGCGGTCTTCCTCCAAATTCTCCTCGAACTCTTGTTGCGCAGCCTGATCGAAGAGTTCAGACCACCGCGAAGACTCGAAAGGCTGGGGGAGCTGTGAGAACTTTTTTATATTCGAGAGTGTAGTTCAGAAGAATGTGAGCAGCCCGGCCGAATCCGTCGTCGCCAACAAATCTCCAAACAGTGACGAGGTCGGTAAAATTTATCAAGGACCGAAGTGGATGAGCTGTTTCCCGAGCGGAGATGTCTGCACACAAGCAAAGAGAGAGGGGAGGGAGTTATGAACACTTCCAAAAAAAAAAAAAATCTCAAGAACAAAACAATAGACTCGAAGAAGCCGACGTACTTGTCGTTCTCCATTCTAAAGGGCATAACAAGCCGTCGTACTCGGGACCGGCACCCCTCTGCCAGGATTCNAATAGACTCGAAAAAGCCGACGTACTTGTCGTTCTCCATTTCAAAGGGCATAACAAGCAGTTGTACTCGGGACCGGCACCCCTCTACCAGGATCCCTTGAAGATCAGTAAGTCATCCTTGTACTCCTTGTCCGAGTCAGGAAGGTGAGTTACGAGGTACATGGATGGGTCCCTGACTTTGAGGTAGAAATTTTGTTGAGGCATGATCTTCAAGAAGGAGTAGCAAAAGAGGATATCATTCAGCCCAACATTTACCCCGAGACGCTTGTTGAGCTCTAAGACTCCCATAATTATCCTGAAGACATTAAGGCAACACGGCCCGGGGAAGAGGTGGAAATGGGAAAGGAACTGGAGGAGTAGAGGGGGCAGAGGGAACCTAATTCTGCCCTCTATGATGGCTTTGGTATAAAAGGGCATCTCATCTTCGGCCCCGAGGGTACGGGAATGCACAACCGAGTTATAATTCTCTATGTCTACATATGGGGGGATGCAATACTGGACCCTAAACCTATTAATCTGCTCGCCCTCCTTCACTTTGTACTTCCCTGGCCTCGAGGAACTAGCCTGAGGATTCTCAGGGGCAGGGCGACGTCAGGGCATCTCCAAAAATGATGAAAAGTGAGGAAGAAGGGAGGGGTTTTCCCACGAAGATCCCCGAGGAGGCTTCCCGAGGGTTAGTCACAGAATGACAACCAGAAATACCTCCGGTTATCGGAACATCAAAAAAAAATAAAAACAGCGAGAAGAAGAAAAGAAGAGACAAAAGGGCAAAGAGAGGGAAGATAGAAGGACTCATCAGCACGTAAACGGAAGTTTTTCTTGAAAACTTGAAGTGATTCCTTCCCCTAGGATGTTCAGAAGCAAGGATGGGTCTACTGGCCTTGAGACTCCGGTGAAAGATTGGACAGTAGACAACGAAAAGAAAGGGATCTCCGGCGAGGTTTCAAGCAAGGGCTCTTTGAAGAAGTTTGAAATGGCAAAATGAGAGAGGGAGGGAGGAAGCCCATTTATATAGTACTCATCCCCATCATTTGGGCACGAAGCACAAAGAGGCGCATTTAATGCGCACAACCTCCTAAGCAGGGGAAAGCGGCTAGAGGCAATAATGAAGTAGTTGGGGTAGTTGCAGAACCCTTCGTCTCCTTACGACACGTGTTCTCGGTGTCAAGAGATCGAAGGCTGGGGGCAGTTGATGGGATATTTCCAAATACTCTAAGATGAAGACACGTGTCTTCGGCATCAGTATATTCTTGTTACTGTGATCACGACATGTACTCGTCGGTTCACAAGTCCTTCTTCCCCCGAGGTACTGTTCATAGGAATCAATGACACCCAGTACGTTACGTGCCGACACGTATTCCTCGGTCGGATATGGGGTAATCGTTCCCTATATGTACCACTCTCTCGGTACCGAGATGTACCCCGTCCAGGTTGGCATTTTCTGCTCCTGTAGAGGCTATTGATGTACAGGTCACTAGTCTAGGCTAGGCTAGGTTAGCCATCATAACCTCGTCTTACACAATTGGTGTCAGAAAACACAAGAAGGCAGAAGACACAACCAATGGGGAATGGGCGCGTGGCATATTATGTCAGATCAGAGATAAAAAGACCAAAATGCCCTTGCTGACACACGACTTGGGAAAGTAAGCATTTAGTGCACCATTCTCTTGATGAGACACTATTTAATGCAGGAAGGCTCGGAAGTGAAAGGTAATAAATGTCCCTATGACTGGGCATTTATTACATCCTTGCCGAGAGAAGCTCATTAAACATTCGGCAGGCCAATGACGAAGCTTTGGTTGCTCGGGGTCCCGAGCAGTTAAGAGAGAAGACATTCCTCATAGGAATCAGTTTGCATGTTGCCCGTATCTAATGATCACCTACTGACCACACTGACAACAATCATGAGTTTTTGAGTTATAAATACTCCTCACAAAAGGCAAGACGGTATGCAACAAAAAACCTTTTCTCAAACAAATACACAATGTTTTTCTCCTTCCCCTCTATCAAAAAATTGACTTGATCGTCAGAGGAGATATGCCGAAAAACACTCCGGCGCCCTCCTAACTCATTTTTTTCTGTTCCAGGAANAATAATGAAGTAGTTGGGGTAGTTGCAGAACCCTTCGTCTCCTTACGACGCGTGTTCTCGGTGTCAAGAGATCGAAGGCTGGGGGGCAGTTGATGGGATATTTCCAAATACTCTAAGATGAAGACACGTGTCTTCGGCATCAGTATATTCTTGTTACTGTGATCACGACATGTACTCGTCGGTTCACAAGTCCTNGTTGATGGGATATTTCCAAATACTCTAAGATGAAGACACGTGTCTTCGGCATCAGTATATTCTTGTTACTGTGATCACGACACGTACTCGTCGGTTCACAAGTCCCTCTTCCCCCGAGGTACTGTTCATATGGATCAATGACACCCAGTACGTTACGTGCCGACACGTATTCCTCGGTCGGATATGGGGTACATCGTTCCCTATATGTACCACTCTCTCGGTACCGAGATGTACCCCCTCCAGGTTGGCATTTTCTGTTCCTGCAGAGGCTATTGATGTACAAGTCACTAGTCTAGGCTAAGCTAGGTTAGCCATCATGACCTCGTCTTACACAATTGGTGTCAGAAAACACAAGAAGGCAGAAGACACAACCAATGGGGAATGGGCGCGTGGCATATTATGTCAGATCAGAGATAAAAAGACCAAAATGCCCTTGCTGACACACGACTTGGGAAAGTAAGCATTTAGTGCACCATTCTCTTGATGAGACACTATTTAATGCAGGAAGGCTCGGAAGTGAAAAATAATAAATGTCCCTATGACTGGACATTTATTACATCCTTGCCGAGAGAAACTCATTAAACATTCGGCAGGCCAATGACGAAGCTTTGGTTGCTCGGGGTCCCAAGCAGTTAAGAGAGAAGACATTCCTCATAAGAATCAGTTTGCATGTTGCCCGTATCTAATGATCACCTACTGATCACACTGACAACAATCATAAGTTTTTGAGTTATAAATACTCCTCACAAAAGGCAAGACGGTATGCAACAAAAAACCTTTTCTCAAACAAATACACAGTGTTTTTCTCCTTCCCCTCTATCAAAAAACTGACTTGATCGTCGGAGGGGATATGCCGAAAAACACTCCGGCGCCCTCCTAACTCATTTTTTTCTGTTCCAGGAACTTCCCTCAGCCTTACTGGACAGTTCCGTTGATCCACGAAAGTCACCCATTACCATTCTAGACCACCACCGGACCTCACAGTTTGTTTCAAGCAGCAAGGTTGACCATTCGATTGACTAACTCAAGTTCACTACGGGAGATATCTGTTCTCGTGTTTATATTGTGCAAGATCCTGCACGCATACTGATGCTCTTCCCTTTCTCAGGTGGTTGGATATAGGAGGGTGTGAGAAGGGCATGAAGAAGACGGCGAAGGAGCTGGACATTGTGCTCCAAGGATGGTTGGAGGAGCATAAGCAGAAAAAAGTTTCCGACGAGGAGGAGGGTGAGCAAGACTTCATGGACATCATGATGTCCATTCTCGACGGAGGGGCTGCAAAGGCCTCCAGTTTCGACGCTAATACGATCAACAAAGCTAATTGTCCGGTAATTTTTTGGTTAAAAAAAAATTGATCTTAGAGCAATCTTAGTTCTTACTCTTTTTAAGATTTAAATTTAAATTAAGATGAAAAAAAAAACTCAAAAACCTTCTCCAACCTTATATCCAAACTTACATTAAATGAAGNTGGTAATTTTTTGGTTAAAAAAAAAATTGATCTTAGAGCAATTTTAGTTCTTACTCTTTTTAAGATTTAAATTTAAATTAAGATGAGAAAAAAAAATTCAAAACCTTCTCCAACCTTATATCCAAACTTACATTAAATGAAGGGAGATCATATTCTAAACCCAAATCAAGAAAGACACAAAACTTAGATCCAAAAACCAATCGGTAAAAAATAGGCTCTCTCTCTCTCTTTACACTATATCAACTCTGTATTCTCCGGTGGACCTTTGTTCAGGGAATCTCTCTCTTCCTTTGTCACAAGCACAGTACATATGAGAATCTATATATATATATATATATATATACATAAGAATCTGTATATACAGCTATATATTTTTCAAAAAAATATATATATCGATTGATGAATCTATATTTACATATTTTGTATACTTAATAGACTTTGGAATTTTGTATTTGTCACAAGAGCCATTTAATAGAAACACAGGTCAACAAANTTTGTATACTTAATAGACTTTGGAATTTTGTATTTGTCACAAGAGCCATTTAATAGAAACACAGGTCAACAAAACATTGAGGGGGAAAAAGGTTTGGAGGTAAAGTTGTAGAGTGCACAGAAAACAGAAGAGTAAAAAAGTTTGAAAGAGGAAAGAAAAGAGCTACTGTGATAACACGAGAAGTTTGTAAAAAGATTTAAGTGCAAAAAAAAGTTTGTCCATTAGAGAGGTTCAAGTACTAAATTCTATTTTTTTTACTCAATTTTGATCAAGATAAGGGTTTAGGTTTCTATTAGAGAAAATATTAGAAAAATATTGAAATTTAAAATTTTGATATGGTATTTTGATCAAATGATGGGTGATCTGACATAGTTTCATTACATATTCAACACCTACAATTGCAATAATGTTATTGTAGTATGTTACTGATATATCATTTGGTCTCATTTTAGTTCCGACATTGAGATCACCATTATATTACTCTAAAACATGATGCGATGATAATTTTAGTGTGAGTATTACTACATTAGTTTCTCATAGGACTGTCAATCTGGCGTGTCACCTACTGTAATATCACTAATGTTATTGGGACATAATTTATGGATATAATGAGTTGTCACCAATAAAGTGATACTGAAATGTATTTAATGATGAGTCTTATTGTAACATTAAATAAATTTATTATCATATCATTGGTGACAATTCATTATGTCCCAATAGTATTGCTCATGTAATATTAACTTATTATCCTTTTTATTTTTTAAGTCATATTTTGCCAACTTTTTTTAAGAAATAATCAAAAAATTGAATATGGAGAGAAAAAATCAGATTTCAAATTAGTAAAAGTAGAATCAAAAGAACTATAATATCAACAACACATCATTTAATTTTCCATTTTTATCCCATTATTGGTTAAACCTAGCATTACTCACGATGGAACCACACCCAATATAATCTAGTGGTTATAGTCGATTTCATATTCTTTATATGTTATATTTAATTGTATTTGTATTGTGTTTAGCCAAATTAATATTAATAATTTATTAAGCAACGCTTGGACCACTATAGTGACACCAAAATAGTATAACATTTAAAGGTGTGATTGAGGCTCTTAGCCTTAGGTCCACTTAACTTTGTTGTCCCATTAACGTGGGAGATTGCAAAATAGTATCATACACCAAACGAGCCCTTATAGTATTGTTTTTCCACTTGCAGATACTATCTAAATAGAGCCTCAGCCTTCAACTTTTATGGTAACCGCACCACCACATTTGGATCCTAACATAACCCCATACTTACAAACTTTTCTACAACTAGTTCAACTTTTCTTATTTTTGTATTCTATTTGTTATTTATAGATAAGATTCCACTAATTTTATATGATTCTATGTGTATCAGGACTCTCTAATTTGTTGCTTATTGGGGTTGTGGCTAACAATATGCTTGTTGACGCATTGTGGGAGATGCCCATTGTGGAGCCCNGTATTCTATTTGTTATTTATAGATAAGATTCCACTAATTTTATATGATTCTATGTGTATGAGGACTCTCTAATTTGTTGCTTATTGGGGTTGTGGCTAACAATATGCTTGTTGACGCATTGTGGGAGATGCCCATTGTGGAGCCCAACACGATTGCCTCCTAAAATCAAAGAATTTAAAAAAAAAAAAAAAAACCCATCTAGTTGTCAGCTAAATGATTGGTGGCTCTTTTTTCTTGGAGAAAAGGGTATTTCCACAATAAAAAGTATGATAGGTTCAAATTGACTTCCTCTCTGTCATGGTATATTTAATCACCATTAGTGTTCTTTTAAATTTGAGTCTTAGTAGTAGTATATTTTATTTTGGCGGCATTAGATTTGTTATTTTTCTCTTTCTTGTCTTTTTTTCATGTCGGTTGGAGAAAGAAAGGTGCGAAAGAAGAATGATTTAAAGTGTGTCGATTAAGTTCTCTCATACAGATTTTCCTCTGTTAAGTCTTGAACCCTACAGGTTTTACAGAATCTTATGAAAAGGTGAAACCATCAACCACCTTTTGGTCAAAAAAATTCAACAATCTTTTGGTATGACTTAGGCTCTATTGGTTGGAGATCCAATCAAAATTATGGGTCCCAGTTAAAGGCGTGATTTATCAATAACAAAAATAAATTGAAGGATAGCTCATTCCCGGCCTATTCCGTATATCAAGAGAGAAAAAATCAGCCAACACGAATATATAATCTAGAGGCTAGTTATCCATGAATAGTCCAACAATACTGGTAATAATTAGATTAAACTTGAGAACTAAATTTGGAGATTGATGAGANTTAGAGGCTGGTTATCCATGAATAGTCCAACAATACTGGTAATAATTAGATTAAACTTGAGAATTAAATTTGGAGATTGATGAAATCCGTAAATTAATACCAAGTAACACATCTGGTGTTCAAGACCCATGGACCAGGTGACTATTTAACCCACTGCTTCCTAATCATCTTGTGCAGTCTCTCATCTTGGGTGGAGCTGATGCAACATCAACTACAATGACATGGTGTCTCTGTGTGCTACTCAACAACCACCATGCTCTTCAAAAGGTCCAAAACGAATTAGACATCCATGTTGGTAAAGAGAGAGAAGTGAAGGCATCAGACATAGAGAAGTTGGTCTACCTCCAAGCTGTAATGAAGGAAACTCTACGTTTGTACCCACCTACACACCTTTCGCCTCCACGTGAGTCCATGGAGGATTGCACAGTGGGTGGCTACCACGTTCCGGCCGGCACTCGTGTTTTCTTCAATCTCTGGAAGATTCAACGCGATCCACGATTGTGGTTGGATCCTTTAGAGTTTCGCCCAGAAAGGTTTCTTACTAGGCACAAAGATGTGGATGTTAGGGGTCAAGATTTTGAGTTGCTTCCGTTTGGCAGTGATAGAAGAGTATGCCCTGGAGTATCTTTTTTCCTGCAAGTGATGTTGTTTACTCTGGCTAGTGTGGTACATGGGTTTGAAATTACTACTCCGTCGAATGAGGAGGTTGATATGACTGAGAGCTTTGGAATTCAGACTAATGTTAGATGGACTTAAAAAGTAGACTTAAAAATTAGACTTGATAATCTCAACCATTGAATAGATAGTAGATCCTAATAAATGATGGGACTCACAGTGAAATCAATGGTTGAGATTATCAAATCTAATTTTTAAGTCTACTTCTCTTGGATTCAGCACCCTCAAAGCCACCCCACTTGATGTCCTCCTCACTCCCCGCTTGGCTGCTACCATTTATGAATGAAGTTAAATAAATGGTAAATTAATGACCAAAAATAAATAAATAAATAAAGGGTAAATTACACTTTATCCCTTGAACTGTTACCTTTATTTTATTTTGTACCAACAACTATGAAATTTCTTACATTGTATTCTAAAATATCAAATTTATTTCATATCATTCCAATAAATAACGACTGTCAATTTTTTGACAGTAAATGCGTATGTCAATAATATATAAGAATAATAAATAACTGTCTATTACACATGTGCATTAAAAAAAATATTCATTTATAACTTTATTTTTCTTAAGTTTTAAATTTTTTTCCTGTGACTGACATTATTTTTCTTCCCATCAACCATTTGATTGCAAAAGAGGTAAAATAAATTGATATTATCTTTATATAGATTTTCAAGTTTATCATTATCTATTAGAGTAATATTAATATGAAATAAAATTACTATTTTAGGGTGTAATGCAAAAATTTTATAGTTAAAATTGCAAAGTGAAGTGAAAATNAGAATAATAAATAACTGTCTATTACACATGTGCATTAAAAAAAATATTCAGTTATAACTTTATTTTTCTTAAGTTTTAAATTTTTTTCCTATGACTGACATTATTTTTCTTCCCATCAACCATTTGATTGCAAAAGAGGTAAAATAAATTAATATTATCTTTATATAGATTTTCAAGTTTATCGTTATCTATTAGAGTAATATTAATATGAAATAAAATTAATATTTTAGGGTGTAATGCAAAAATTTTATAGTTAAAATTGCAAAGTGAAGTGAAAATAATAATTCAAAGGAATAAAGTATAATTTACTTTTAAATATATTGCGTGGACTTTATTTTGGTGTTTTAAGTTTGTNATAATAATTCAAAGGAATAAAGTATAATTTACTTTTAAATATATTGCGTGGACTTTATTTTGGTGTTTTAAGTTTGTCTTTCCCTTGAGAATAATATCTCTTAAACTAGTATTTGTGTAATTGTTCAAAAAAAAAAAACTAGTATTTGTGTATTGTGTGCTTTTTTTCGTTTTTTTTTTTTTTTTATCTATTGTCAATTGATTTGGAGTTGAACACTTCAAGATGGTGTTAGATATGAGCTTTGTAAAGGGTTTGAGCAAAACTCAATTTTATTGATTTGATGACCAAAATAATACACCGAAATAAAATTTTGATTATTGGTTCCAACAAGAGTTAGGATCTATATATAGAACCACAGGGATAAAATAAAATTTGTGTTTCTTTATGGGCCTTTCTTTGTGTCCGGGTAAGCTAGCTCCTCTAATTCTATATTTCTTTTTTTATCTTTTTTGTTTTCTTTTGGAGAAACTGTAAATACATTATTGTATCTTGAGATAGAGTGAACTGATTAACCAATTTCTCACATGGGTTTGATGTGTGCAAGACCAGATCAAGAAAAGCGAACAAGTCAAGACTGCAAAAGATCGTCTTGACCCTTTCAATTTCATGGCCACCCCGTTTCTTTTGAAGCTCCTAGCTTTTTAAATGACTGATCATTGATCAGCTTGCATTAACAGAACCGCATGACATTAGAGTAGTAAAGGGATTCGAGGCATGTTATTACGAATTTAGATTAAGTATTTCAATTATAAGAAATTTTAACACTTATCTGACTTATTTGTTTATCGTGATTAGGGTGATTCTAGAAATTTCTTAGCCTTCTTCACTTAATGCAACCCACATGATGTGTATACAGCATTAATGACTACATCATTATGATGATCACATGCTGTGTGTGTGTCTGTGGACCTGTCGTGAAAACAACATGCCCATCACCACTGCTGCTTGCTTCGTTGGCTTGAGGGTAAGGTCCTCCATATGAACAGTCGTCGTTGGACCATCTCAACCGTTCATCTATCACCATATATATCATTTTCGTGGAGTTATGTATATGACCACATGCATTATGGACCGGTTGGTATGATCCATCATTGTGAGATCGACGCTTTCCCTCCAACGATTTTTAATCCGACTGAAATATAAGAATGAAATAAATCTCGAGTCGAACATGGAAATGGAATGAACCTCGACAATAGAGTAGTAAACTTATTCTCAAGTGATGACCAATTTTTGGACAATACAAATTATTCTAAGTTACTCTTATGTTCCGTTTGATAAAAATAATAAAATATTTGAAGGATAAAAAATAAGAGAGATACATTTTTTATCATTCAAAAAGAAAACGTAAGAATGATACACTTTCTTTCTTTTGTGCTTAGTTGGATGGATGAAAAATAAAAATGACTAATTTTTTTTTTGTGCTGGCTAATATTAGGGGTGACAATCGATTCGTGTTGTGTCAGATTTGTGTTGAATTATTATAAGTTTGTGTCGAATATTAGTTAAACCTAGCTCAACTCATTTAACTAATTGTGTCGCGTTGAGTTGCAAGTTAACATATTTATTTTCATGTCGTATTCGTGTTTTTATTAGTGTTGACTCAAATAAACTTTGAATACAAAATTTAACGCTAATATTCTATTTTAACTTAATTAAATCCATGTTAATATTTTTTCTACCAACTAAAAATTAACTTAAATAAATATAATAATAATAATAATAATAATAATAAGTAAAAATATTTTTTTTATATAATAATTATGTCAGTGCTTAATAAATGATTATAAATAATTAATATTTTATGTCTATAATACTAATTAAATATGTCAGTTTCGTGTTAATTTCATATTACCATACAAACGAGAAATGAAAATAATATTTTTTAATTTAAAATTTAAAATTTTATTTTTTTATCTTTAATTTAATTTTTTATATTAAAAATTATTTTTAAATTATATATATATATATATATATATATATATATACACACACATATTTTTATCATTGTATTTTTATATGAAATTAATGTATATATAATATATGTATATATTAAAAGATATATATAGACAAATAAAATACATGTCAACACTAATAATATAATTAACTTTTTATTAACTTTTTTTCCTATTTTAGAGGTACTGATTTTGATGAATTGGAAAAGAAAGTTAATCTATCCAATTTTTCATCCTTCCTATTTTTCTTTCTTACCAAACATGATGTTTTATTTATCCCTCCAACTTTTTCATCTTTCCAACTTTTCATTATTTCATTTTTCCATCATACTAACGAAGCATTAAAGGGGTGAGATAGACGTCATTAAATGACTTAAAATAATCAAATTTCTACTTTATGTTCCGTTTGGTATGAAAGATAGAAAATAGAAATGATGGAAAGTATGAATGATACACTTTCTATTCTTCAATAAAGGAAAGTAAGAATGATACATTTTCCTTTATTTGTATTTGGTTGAATGGATGGAAAATAAAAATGACTAATTTTTTTTTTTTTTGGTGATTGCTAAGATTAAGGGTGACAATCAAGTTGTGTCGGTCAGATTCGTATTGAATTATAAAATTATGAACCTTTTATATTTCTTGTTAGCTTATCAGGTCATTTTCAAGTTCGAGTCGTGTCATCGCGTTAAGTCGAAAATTTTCACCCCTAGTTAAGATGAAAAAAATAAAATTTTAATAAAATTTTTTAAAATATTTATATATAAATACATATTTTATTATTGTATTTTTATATGAAATTANAAGTCGAAAATTTTCACCCCTAGTTAAGATGAAAAAAATAAAATTTTAATAAAATTTTTTAAAATATTTATATATAAATACATATTTTATTATTGTATTTTTATATGAAATTAATGTNGAGTAGTAAACTTATTCTCAAGTGATGACCAATTTTTGGACAATACAAATTATTCAAGTTACTCTTATGTTCCGTTTGATAAAAATAATAAAATATTTGAAGGATAAAAAGTAAAAGAGATATATTTTTTATCATTCAAAGAGAAAACGTAAGAATGATACACTTTCTTTCTTTTGTGCTTAGTTGGATGGATGAAAAATAAAAATGACTAATTTTTTTTTTTTTTTTGTGCTGGCTAATATTAGGGGTGACAATCGATTCGTGTCGTGTCAAATTTGTGTTGAATTATTACAAGTTTATGTCGAATATTAGTTAAACTTAACTCAACTCATTTAACTAATTGTGTCGCGTCGAGTTGCAAGTTAACATATTTATTTTCATGTCGTATTCGTGTTTTTATTAGTGTTGACCCAAATAAACTTTGAATACAAAATTTAACGCTAATATTCTATTTTAACTTAATTAAATTCATGTTAATATTTTTTCTACCAACTAAAAATTAAGTTAAATAAATATAATAATAATAATAATAAGTAAAAATATATTTTTTATATAATAATTATGTCAGTGCTTAATAAATGGTTATAAATAATTAACATTTTATGTCTATAATACTAGTTAAATATGTCAGTTTCGTGTTAATTTCATATTACCATACAAACGAGAAATAAAGAAAATGTTTATAAAATTCATGTTGAGTTTGAGTTGTGTCATCGTGTGAATCGAAAATTTTCACCCATAGTTAAAATGAAAAATATATTTTTTTAATTTAAAATTTAAAATTTTATTTTTTTATCTTTAATTTTATTTTTTATATTAAAAATTATTTTTAAATTATATATATATATATACACACACATATTTTTATCATTGTATTTTTATATGAAATTAATGTATATAATATATATATATATATTAAAAGATATATATAGACAAATAAAGACATGTCAACACTAATAATATAATTATCTTTTTATTTACTTTTTTTTCCTATTTTAGAGGTACTGATTTTAATGAATTGGAAAGAAAGTTAATCTATTCAATTTTTCATCCTTCCTATTTTTCTTTCTTACCAAACATGATGTTTTATTTATCTCTCCAACTTTTTCATCTTTCCAAATTTTTATTCTTTCATTTTTCCATCATACTAACGAAGCATTAAAGGGGTGAGATAGACGTCATTAAATGACTTAAAATAATCAAATTTCTATTTTATGTTCCGTTTGGTAAGAAAGATAGAAAATAGAAATGATGGAAAGTATGAATGATACACTTTCTATTCTTCAATGAAGGAAAGTAAGAATGATACATTTTACTTTATTTGTGTTTGGTTGAATGGATGGAAAATAAAAATGACTAATTTTTTTTTTTTTGGTGATTGCTATGATTAAGGGTGACAATCAAGTTGTGTCGTGTCAGATTCGTATTGAATTATAAAATTATGAACCTTTTATATTTCTTGTTAGCTTATCAGGTCATTTTCAAGTTCGAGTCGTGTCATCGCGTTGAGTCGAAAATTTTCACCCCTAATTAAGATGAAAAAAATAAAATTTTAATAATTTTTTTTAAATATTTATATATAAATACATATTTTATTATTGTATTTTTATATGAAATTAATGTATACATAATATATATACAAATAAGATATATCTAAACACAAATAATTAACTTTTCATCTACTTTCCTTCCGATTTTGGAGGGATTGATTTTGGTGAGTTGGATGGAAAATTAATCCATCAATTTTTCTATCTATTCCTATTTTCTTTCTTTACCAAACATGATATTTTATTTATTTCTCAAACTTTTCATATTTCCAATTTTTCATCATTTCATTATTCTATCATATCAAACGGAACATTAGAACTAACAAAATTTAGATGAGAATACGACCATTGAAACATACTCTTATTTTTTACGTCAATCTACTTAATCTTCCATTATTTGTGGAAGGGTTTACTATAACATAAACATTAGTTGGTCTACCATATCCATCGATCCATATAAAACATACCACACAGTTCTTGACGTAAACGTGGATGTCATACCGATATTATCACAAAATTATAAAATAAATGCAAATAGAGTATTATTATACACGTCAGAATTTATTAGTGCTATGACATTCAAACAACAATATTATAAATTTGTCCCTGATTTTAAGTTTCATCGTACGAACCACAAGTTTGGCCCAACTTCAATGTGAATCTTAGATCACTTGATTTTAGCTTAATTAATGATGATGGATTTAAATTCCCTTTATTATATTTTTATTTAATTTTATTTAATAATAAATATTTTAACGTGTGTAAATGATAGACTCACTAATTATAAATAGATTATTTTTATTAATATTAAGTAAAAATATATTGAAAGTAAAATTGTCATATAATTTTTTTTTTCTGAAGCACACCCAAGAAATATATATATATATATATATATTTTATCTAATATCATACTATAATCATTAGAAGTTAACCGGTAATATTGGAAAAATGGGCCCCCATTCAACTTAACCATAGTTAATTAACTCCGGTTCCATCTCCAAATTTTGCCCTTCATAAACGTGAAAGAAAATACAAAGAGAGACGAAAAAACAGCTAACCACTCGCGGAGACTTTCATTTCTAAAACTTCCCGGCCGGCGGAATCTAACTGCTTCATGTTCCCGCCAAAATCTGAAGCGAGTACGAGGCCACGTGGCTTGGGGAATGCGTCGGAGAAGGTAATTGTGGCCGTGAAAGCAGAGAAGGTGATCTCGAAGACCGCATTGGCATGGGCTTTGACTCACGTGGTTCATCCCGGCGACTGTATTACGTTGCTCGCTGTCTTTTCCGACGAGGAATCCAGTAAGTTCGTGTTCTTAATATGTTAGGTCTAGAATTCTCGATTTATGTTGGTAATAGTGAATAGTTTGGAGTAGTAGTGGTTACAGGTGGTAGGAAAAAGTGGCGGTTTCCGAGGTTCACCGGAGATTGCCGGGACGGTGACCGGAAGAAGTTGTCGGATCGGATATGTCAGGTCTCCGAGTCTTGTTCAGAGATGGTTCTTCAATTTCAAGATCAAATCGAGGTGAATTCAAAATTTACTGAATTTGCCACTTGCTGCTAGTCTTTTTAATTGTTCTCGTGGACTCTTTGGTATTTGCAGTTACAAAAGCTCGTTCTTTAGTTGGGATACTTCTTTCCTTTCCCACTTGGTCAAGTTGGGCACACTCAATTTGAAATCTTTCGAAACCGATCTGGTTTCGTATGAAGTTATAATATGTCCGTTTTATGCAATGTGAGATGATAAAAGAAGTTGCAATCAATTTTTTCATTGGATTTCTGGCAATTGATTGAGTCAGGGTTTTAGAAGATTCCTAACTTGTGGGAATCCGACGCAAAGTGCTAAAAACTCAATGAAAGTAATTAAGCGTCGCATGTGCCTAGAAAATGGTGATTTTTAGATTAATAATTATTTTATTGGAATATACTGCTCATCATATTGCTCCCCCTAACTTACTATTTATTATTGCTTCACTATTCAAAAACTCTGTTCATTGGAATGTAGGTCATGGTGCGGATTAAGGTTGTATCTGGTTTATCTACTGGGGCAGTGGCAGCTGAAGCAAAGGGCAACGCAGCCAACTGGGTCATATTGGACAAGTAATTAAACATAAAAGTATTTTTCTGTTTTCTAATCTATTGCTATAGTGGATCAGTGTTTAATTTCTCTCTATTCACTTTAGTGGGCATTTTAGGAGGATCGGATTCAAACTCGTTGAATGTGTATAGTGAATAACACAAGCATACGTAATTGAGAATATTCTGTGGTTGGGCTGTCTTTATATCTTACCCATCTCAGTGATTGGAAATGAATTGAGAATATGAGGTTTGTTCAAGCAAATTGTTATAGTTGCATGCAGTTATACCTAACAGCTAACATGAGTGATCTTGCCAGTGGACTTGATATCTCTGACTTGTTTATAGCTTTCCTGCAATCTTTCAAGTCCACCCAAACTATCAAGCAAATTGGTCAAACCCCATGAACTACCTTTACCCTCCCCCAAAAGGAAAAAAGGAAAAAAGAAAAAGAAGACAGCATAAAAAATGCAAGAATTGATTTTGGGATTTGCCTTAGAGCCAGTTGAGCATAAAAATAAAACAGTTAATGGGGCTAGGATATGTTTTTTGGAGGATACTTGGGTTGGGGACTGGGGAGTCTTTGTTATCTAGTCTTTTGCCTCATCTTTATAAACTTTCCAGCAATGATGGTCTTTGTGGTGCTTCGTTGTGCAGTCTTTACTCTTAACCTATTTCTAGGACTTTTAGATTTCGTAGGAATCTTAATGATAGAGAATGCTCGGATTCATTGGTACTTCTTTCTTTGCTTAGTAATGTTTCTTGAAATCAAAATCAGCATGCTGACAAAAGATGTTGGACTTGGGATATTGATCCAGTGGGTGTGTTTTCATGTAAATTGTTCTTTGAATCATTAATTTGATGATTCCACTCTTCCATTGTTTCTTCCATCATTGAGGATTTGGAAAGTCAAAGTGCCTTTAAAGGTAGAACATAGTGCATGGTTGATTGTCCGTGGTAAGATTAACACTAATGATGTGTTTCAAAGGAGGAGATCTAAGATTTGTTTTCTTTTGCAGAGGTGTGTTATGTGTAGAAATGATAGTGAGATTGTGGACATTTATTTTTGCATTGTCCAACGGCGTTCTCACTTTGAAACAAGTTGCTTAATTTTGTGGGTTTTTGTTGGGTNGATGATGTGTTTCAAAGGAGGAGATCTAAGATTTGTTTTCTTTTGCAGAGGTGTGTTATGTGTAGAAATGATAGTGAGGTTGTGGACATTTATTTTTGCATTTTCCAACGGCGTTCTCACTTTGAAACAAGTTGCTTAATTTTGTGGGTTTTTGTTGGGTGGTGCCAAGCTCCATTTCTTAAATGATTAGTTTAAATTTTACGGGTTTGGGAGGATAGAAAGATGAAGACTCTTTGACAGAATGCTTTTTTTGCTAGTATTTGGGTGATTTGGTTGGAAAGGAATCCGAGAATCTTTGATGATAAAAGTGAGGAGTAGGAAGGTTTATGGGACAGGATATTTTTCTTGGCTTCATTTTGGGCATCTGTGTCCAAGGATTTTGCAAATATTCCTCCTTTCTGTATTACTGTGAGTTGGACAGACTCGTATGGGATGTAGCATGAGAATATTGCATTGTTTTTGCTTTTGTGCTGTATGACTTTTCCTATCTTTGGGTTGGATGGGTTGCATGACTAGAAAATTTTGAATTTTTTAACCACTTCTGGTTCTGTTCTGATGAAACAGAAAATTGAAGCGAGAACACAAGCATTGCATGCAGGAACTTCGCTGCAACATTGTAGTGATGAAAGGCTCTCACCCGAAAGTCCATAGGCTGAATTTAGGATGTCCTAATGAACCACAAACCCCCTTTTTTTCTTCTGCTTCTTCCCCTATTTCTGAGAGTGCCAAGTTGCAATTCCATGGGATGAAGCATTCTACTCCTATCAGCAGTCCCGAGGAACCAACTACTTCCTATACAAGACCATCTGGAGAGATTTCATCATGCAGTCCAGACACAGGAACTTCTCCTTTCCTTGTCTATGAACAAAATCCGTTGTTTGAAGGATTGAACAAAGGAAAATATATGCCTATTTCTAAATGGAATAATTTGGATGATTTATTTATTGCGATGGACTTAGACAGGGAGAAGATAATAACTCTTTCTACATCCCCAAAAACTACAAATCATAAGAGAGTGTTCTGGATTCCCCAATTCCATATTGTTGATGAGGAAGCCCCTGCAACTAGAAACACTCCCAAAACCGAATCTCCCGCTACAAGAACTGCACTTGAAAGCATAATGCTATCGAACCAAATTATTAGCCCTGGCAGAGACTATCATTTTAACTCTAGCATCAGAGAGGCAGTCTCCTTAGGTAGATCTTCCTCTGTATCTCCTCCTTTATGTTCAATTTGTCAACACAAGGCACCAGTCTTTGGAAAACCTCCAAGAAGGTTTCATTTTAAGGAGCTAGCCGAAGCTACAGATGGTTTCTCAGAAACGACTTTCTTGGCAGAAGGTCAGTTTGGTTTGGTTCACAGGGGGGTCTTGAGAGATGGGCTGGTGGTTGCAGTGAAGCAGTTAAATTTTGCTGGGTCTCAAGGAGATGCAGATTTCTGCAGGGAAGTGCGAGTATTATGCTGTGCACAGCATAGGAATGTTGTGTTGCTGATTGGGTTTTGCATTGAGGGGAAGAAGAGAGTATTAGTTTATGAGTATATCTGCAATGGCTCCTTGGACTTTCATTTACATGGTATTCTCTGTTTTTTTTTTTTTGTTTTTCTTATTTCCCCTATAATTATGTTTGCAGTCAGTGTGTCCAGCTTCTAATTGAAGCGCCATACAATGCATTGGCTTGGCTTCGGTTTCTATGATTGGCAGGGCAAAATAGAGCACCTCTAGATTGGTACTCACGCCTAAAGGTAGCTATTGGCACAGCAAGAGGCTTAAGATACCTTCATGAAGATTGCAGAGTTGGATGTATAGTCCACAGAGACATGCACACTAATAACATCCTCCTGACCCATGATTTTGAACCTCTGGTAATTTGTTTAATGCTTTCTTAGAAGCCAATCTTTCCAAATTCCTGCACATTGGGAAATTTTCTTTTTTTTTTTTCAAACTTCGAAGGCACTTGCATATGCCCACTTGAACGAGAACCAGCTCTCTATCATACATTAGAAACTTCTTAGGATTTCAAATGAAGTATGGTGGCTTCTAGTCATCTACAGCTATTTGGGATCCTTGTGTTGGCAATGAGAGGATCAAAATTCACTATGGAAGTCAAAACCAATTTTCAAGATGATGGTGAAATTCTTCTCTCTCACTTGAACTTGAAACCCTAGTATGTATACTAATCTCTACATCCTTTAAACCCTAACAGCATGTCCTTTCTGTATAGAACCAAATACACCTGATAATCCTTCACTTAATTTTGGTTTAAAGTCAGCTCGATAACCAAATATATAACACCCCTTCTGAAAATCGGTGGCTGCCCATGGGTGCAGGGCTTACATGGCCACAAAATGGAAGAACTACCTATTATAGGTGGCCAGGCGACCACCGGATCCACTGGTTGCGATGTGGCCACCAAAGTGGGGACAAAACCCCCACAGGTGGCTGCACTGCCACCTGTCTGGTTAGTTTTTCCTTTTTTTTTCAAGGCACCAATGCAGAACTTTGCAAGTAGATCTCTGGGAAAATGTAACTTCGTCGTCTAATTTTGTGGTTTGTTCATTTAGGTTGCAGATTTTGGGCTTGCTAGGTTGCACAGGGAATGGGATCCATCTGATGAGGTGCAAGTTGCTGGATCTTTAGGGTATTTGTTACATTTCCTGGACTCTGAGTTGGCTATTATGTGCAAAAATGTTCAATCCATTTGATATTATCTTATAAACTTGACCTAACTACAAGGATGCAGCTTATAATATGGAAATTTAACAAGTTCAACTTTTTTTCCCATTGAGTTTTGTTTCAAAACAAGCTGAAAGATCTTTCAGACCCATTTAAGCTGATGCATGTTGCATCTTGTTTCTTGTGTTGGTAGTCCAATAACATCTACATGCACGCTATGCTTAAGTGTGAGGTTTATGTTCTTCTGATTAAACTGATTCTGTTCTGATGCTATAGGTGTCTTGCACCAGAGCACTATAATGGCGGAAAAATCACAGAGAAAGCTGACATATATGCTTTTGGACTGGTTCTATTAGAGCTAATTACTGGTCAGAAAGCCAGCAACTTGAAATGTCACAAGGGACGGGGCTTTTTCTCCAGCAACTTCTTCCCTTTATCTGTCCTGGAACCAATCCATCTCTTATTACATGAACATGAATTGTTGGACCCCTGCTTGGCCCCTCACCAACTCCACAACCTCCCCCATGAACTACAGGCAATGGGTCGTGCTGCCTCCTTGTGTCTACAAGAAGATCCCAATTCCAGACCACCAATGTCAAAGGTTTTATACCACTCACAGTTCCTATGTTGATTCATCTGTATAGTTTGAATATTCTCTGGTAAATAATATCATTGTGTTGTCTATTATCAGCGATAGTTAGCTTTATTCTTGTGATGGGAGAGGCATGTTAATTTAATTTTGTTCTCTGATAAATACATTAATTGAACATTTTCCTATCTTCTCTAAATCAATAGGTCCTTAGAATGCTAGAAGGAGGAGATGCATTTATTCCTTTGGCTTTGGACTTGAACTCAATTGGCAGTAGAAGTGGGCACATGCAGGGTCTGAGTTCAAAAACACAGCCTAATTCAAGTAGGCATTCTCGCAAGCTTTCTCACTAAGTCAATGTGAAAGTGCTTTTGGTATTTCTGGTAAGTCAATTCGGTTCTACATGTGTTATATCACACCAATTCTTTTCATATTCTTTTCCGTCGTCGTGACAATCTGTCATCATCATTCATTCTTGGCGAGAATTATTTAAAGCTTCCATACAATTCAGTTTACTTGTAAGTTCAATTTGTTATCTTTTGTTCAGGATATTTCTTGTAAAAAGTCTGTGGCATACTCCCACTTTTTCTTGTAGCTATTTCCAGGTCATGCTCAACTCTAATCTTTATTCAAGGTCTGCTTTCAACTAGTGCCTTTCAGTTTTTTGATGGTCATCGGGCGAAAACAGGCTAACGGCCCAGATCTTTTCATCAGGATGGTTCTAATGGATTTCTTTTTTTAAAAGAATTTTTGGCCTTGTGTGGTTTGTGTCTCAAAAATATATAGTATCCGAAACTGTTTTGAGGAATAGTTTTAAATGATGTTTTTTGTGTTGTGTCGTAGAACTTGTTGGTTATACAATTTTAAAAACAGTTTTACGTAATAGAAAATAGTAAAATTTGTTTGGACAATAATCCAAAAATAATGAAAATAGAAATGTGATGGTGGTGGCGATAGTGATAGTGATGGTGGTGGATGTATGGTAGTGGTGGTGAATGTATGGTAGTGTTGGTGGTGGTGGAAGTGTGGTGGTGTTTTCTAANCAGCTTCTAATTGAAGCGCCATACAATGCATTGGCTTGGCTTCGGTTTCTATGATTGGCAGGGCAAAATAGAGCACCTCTAGATTGGTACTCACGCCTAAAGGTAGCTATTGGCACAGCAAGAGGCTTAAGATACCTTCACGAAGATTGCAGAGTTGGATGTATAGTCCACAGAGACATGCACACTAATAACATCCTCCTGACCCATGATTTTGAACCTCTGGTAATTTGTTTAATGCTTTCTTAGAAGCCAATCTTTCCAAATTCCTGCACATTGGGAAATTTTCTTTTTTTTTTTTCAAACTTCGAAGGCACTTGCATATGCCCACTTGAACGAGAACCAGCTCTCTATCATAAATTAGAAACTTCTTAGGATTTCAAATGAAGTATGGTGGCTTCTAGTCATCTACAGCTATTTGGGATCCTTGTGTTGGCAATGAGAGGATCAAAATTCACTATGGAAGTCAAAACCAATTTTCAAGATGATGGTGAAATTCTTCTCTCTCACTTGAACTTGAAACCCTAGTATGTATACTAATCTCTACATCCTTTAAACCCTAACAGCATGTCCTTTCTGTATAGAACCAAATACACCTGATAATCCTTCACTTAATTTTGGTTTAAAGTCAGCTCGATAACCAAATATATAACACCCCTTCTGAAAATCGGTGGCTGCCCATGGGTGCAGGGCTTACATGGCCACAAAATGGAAGAACTACCTATTATAGGTGGCCAGGCGACCACCGGATCCACTGGTTGCGATGTGGCCACCAAAGTGGGGACAAAACCCCCACAGGTGGCTGCACTGCCACCTGTCTGGTTAGTTTTTCCTTTTTTTTTCAAGGCACCAATGCAGAACTTTGCAAGTAGATCTCTGGGAAAATGTAACTTCGTCATCTAATTTTGTGGTTTGTTCATTTAGGTTGCAGATTTTGGGCTTGCTAGGTTGCACAGGGAATGGGATCCATCTGATGAGGTGCAAGTTGCTGGATCTTTAGGGTATTTGTTACATTTCCTGGACTCTGAGTTGGCTATTATGTGCAAAAATGTTCAATCCATTTGATATTATCTTATAAACTTGACCTAACTACAAGGATGCAGCTTATAATATGGAAATTTAACAAGTTCAACTTTTTTTCCCATTGAGTTTTGTTTCAAAACAAGCTGAAAGATCTTTCAGACCCATTTAAGCTGATGCATGTTGCATCTTGTTTCTTGTGTTGGTAGTCCAATAACATCTACATGCACGCTATGCTTAAGTGTGAGGTTTATGTTCTTCTGATTAAACTGATTCTGTTCTGATGCTATAGGTGTCTTGCACCAGAGCACTATAATGGCGGAAAAATCACAGAGAAAGCTGACATATATGCTTTTGGACTGGTTCTATTAGAGCTAATTACTGGTCAGAAAGCCAGCAACTTGAAATGTCACAAGGGACGGGGCTTTTTCTCCAGCAACTTCTTCCCTTTATCTGTCCTGGAACCAATCCATCTCTTATTACATGAACATGAATTGTTGGACCCCTGCTTGGCCCCTCACCAACTCCACAACCTCCCCCATGAACTACAGGCAATGGGTCGTGCTGCCTCCTTGTGTCTACAAGAAGATCCCAATTCCAGACCACCAATGTCAAAGGTTTTATACCACTCACAGTTCCTATGTTGATTCATCTGTATAGTTTGAATATTCTCTGGTAAATAATATCATTGTGTTGTCTATTATCAGCGATAGTTAGCTTTATTCTTGTGATGGGAGAGGCATGTTAATTTAATTTTGTTCTCTGATAAATACATTAATTGAACATTTTCCTATCTTCTCTAAATCAATAGGTCCTTAGAATGCTAGAAGGAGGAGATGCATTTATTCCTTTGGCTTTGGACTTGAACTCAATTGGCAGTAGAAGTGGGCACATGCAGGGTCTGAGTTCAAAAACACAGCCTAATTCAAGTAGGCATTCTCGCAAGCTTTCTCACTAAGTCAATGTGAAAGTGCTTTTGGTATTTCTGGTAAGTCAATTCGGTTCTACATGTGTTATATCACACCAATTCTTTTCATATTCTTTTCCGTCGTCGTGACAATCTGTCATCATCATTCATTCTTGGCGAGAATTATTTAAAGCTTCCATACAATTCAGTTTACTTGTAAGTTCAATTTGTTATCTTTTGTTCAGGATATTTCTTGTAAAAAGTCTGTGGCATACTCCCACTTTTTCTTGTAGCTATTTCCAGGTCATGCTCAACTCTAATCTTTATTCAAGGTCTGCTTTCAACTAGTGCCTTTCAGTTTTTTGATGGTCATCGGGCGAAAACAGGCTAACGGCCCAGATCTTTTCATCAGGATGGTTCTAATGGATTTCTTTTTTTAAAAGAATTTTTGGCCTTGTGTGGTTTGTGTCTCAAAAATATATAGTATCCGAAACTGTTTTGAGGAATAGTTTTAAATGATGTTTTTTGTGTTGTGTCGTAGAACTTGTTGGTTATACAATTTTAAAAACAGTTTTACGTAATAGAAAATAGTAAAATTTGTTTGGACAATAATCCAAAAATAATGAAAATAGAAATGTGATGGTGGTGGCGATAGTGATAGTGATGGTGGTGGATGTATGGTAGTGGTGGTGAATGTATGGTAGTGTTGGTGGTGGTGGAAGTGTGGTGGTGTTTTCTAAATTTTGAAAAAGGTTATTTTAAGAAATATATACATTAACTTGTTCTCTAAATTTATTAAATTTTTATTCTCAATTTTCAAAAATAAAAAATAAAAAACAGCTGGCAAAATAAATTTTTTCCTTAAAATTATTTTCAAAAATAAAAAAAATAGTTTATGAAATACAAACCAAATAGGCTTTTAATTTTTCTAAATTTTGATCTCTTCTTCAAAATGTTCATTTGAATTTCGTGAGTACAAATGTGTTGGGCCTTGGGCCTTGGGCCTTGGGCCTATTCCACTTATCACTATTTTGCGTTGGTCATCATGCTAGTTTGTTGGGCCTTGGGATGGTCTCGCGGTTGTTTGGGCCAGCCCAAGACCTACGGGCCCTTGAGTTTTCCGAGGTTAATAGGGTGGGCATCCAAACACAATTTTCAAAAATTCACCTGCTTCGAACCCCAAGGCCAACAGAGTCTTATCACCGACCAACCCCCAAAGTCATAACACTATCACGTGACATAGCTTCTCTGTATAAACATACACCACTCACTCTCACCTTCTCACTTACCTCACTATTTTCTTCCTACAGTATGTCTACCAAAGTCTCCAAAAAGCAGCTATCTTCCTTGGAAGCTAAGAACATCAACAACTCAGAAGATCCAGAAGAGACCGAAAACACAACCCTTGTCACGACTCATGTGTTCTTGAAGCCCACTCACTCCACCGGAACACTAGACAAAGAAGTGGTGCTCAGTCGTATTCGCCACCGCAAGCGCGCCAACAAGTTTCGCACCGCCGTGCGAGCTCTCTTACTCTCGCCGTTTGCTGCTAAGACAACGACCGACAACGTCTCGGTTCAACAAACGAGATGGGTGGATGATGCTTTCGCTGCTCCTTGATTAGTTCATAAAGGAACTGTTACCCCCCATGTATTGTAATTGTACTTGTATGTAAATAAAGCATCTAGTGCAACTTATTTCTTCAAATATGCTTTCCAGCTGAAAGAACTGTTTGTTTGAAATAGTGCTTAAGTTAGCCGGAAACTGAGTACTTAGAGTAATGGTGACTCAAGAAGCGGGCCCCGGAGCTTTTATCCAAAAAAGAAGAAGCAAAAGAAAAGGAAGTTGGAAGTTTAAACATTAAGAGGGAATAACTGGGTAAGCAAAGGTGCACCTCTCTTTTTATTTATGTATTTAATGGTATAACTTGCATAAGAAGTGTTGTTTAAGGATACGAGAGAGCAGTGGTACAAAACGGTGATAATGGAGCTGAATTATTCGAATTTGATTTAAATAAGATTCAATTTGAGCTCGACTTGTATTCTAAATAAGTCAAGTTTGTATAATTTTTTTAAGTTTGTTTAGAAAAATAAATCTACAAGATTCCGTTCAAGTTTGTAAAATTCGTCTCGTTTATGTATAAAATAGTCAAACTACTAGGATTCGACTCATTTTTTAAATAAGTCGAAGTTGAACAATCTTTTAGACTCATTTTAAAAAAACAAACTCAATAAACTCAATTAAAACTCGCAAAGTTTGATTCGATTATTAATCCCTTATAGTTTACTTTCACCTGCACATGAATTCAACCTCTTTTTCTTTTACCTTTTGCTCTCCCAATAAAACAAAAAAGAGGTGTAATTTAAGATTTTTTTTTTCAGATTCCTTCTACAATTTATATTCTTATTCGTGATCTAGAAAATAAAGGAAAAGAATAATTCGTGTGAAAGGTGGTGACTTCATAAAGATTTGACAAATATTTTCAAAAGAAACAAATCTTGCCTTGTTTTACAAAGTGTAATTCTACTTAGATTTAATTTATTGGTATAATCACGATTTATCATTAGATTGACAATAAATTTTATTATTAATTCAAATTTAATATTAATTCAATAGTTTTGATGTGTCGTATCAATAAAGAAGACCAATAAATTAAATTTAAATAATATTTTCTTTTTACAAATGGAATCTGCACTTTGAAAAGTGTTAGGCTTGAGGAAAATAAGTGTATTCAACAAGATTTAAAATAGCAAGGATTAAGTATAAATAAAGATCGGCATCTAAACATGTTCTGCCACATGAGTTGTCCATCAATCCGGATAAGGTTGCGGACCCTTTCTCAATTGGATTTTTTTTAAAGCCGATATACCTTTTTTAATTTGTGGGGCTTTAAGTACAAAATCAAAAACAATTTAGCAAAAGAGAGAATTCGGAGCAGAAAGAACGAAATACCCTATACCTCTAACATAACACTTATAATAGCCGGAAAAATCAGATAAAAAAATCGAATAATTTAAAAATTGATGCTCCTAATTTTTTAAGTTTTTTTATATTAGAACACACACTCTCTCTTTATCTCCTGGGACGGCCCAACCAATATGGGGGCATTAGGTGAAAATATTCAGAGGGACCCAATGTTATGAAATATAATAATATAGATACCACAAAATAAATATTAATATATATTTATTTTAAAATTATTTTTATTGTAATAGTTTTGCATTCAAATTTTAATTATAAAAAATTTATTATTTGAATTTGAATTTGGAGATTAAAATATAATTAAATCTACTATCTATTAAAAATATCGAGAAAGAAAACTGAAATTTATTAATATAACAACATTTTTTTTCAAAAAACGACTGTTAGTAAGAATTTTGAGTTATAAACTACTCAAACCCAATATGCTTTTCTATCTTTCTGTGTGTGTTTCTTGTGTATTTAAAAAAATATTTAAGCAAAAAATAGATCCAGATAAAAAGGTCTCAAATTTAAATTAATAAAAAAATATAATTTATAAAAATTAAGTGATAAATAATTAATCAACCAATTAACTTAGATTGTAATAAATTAAAATTATTGCGTGGGGAGATAACTCATTTTTTTAGTATTTACATAAAAATAAGATTGAAAAAATAAAGGTAATACAAGAAAAATCATTCGATTGCATCATGCCAGAATGTATTTAAAAAATTGATTTAAGGGAACGAATAATTTCATCAATTTATCATCTAAATTTACTAAGACTAGATTCAAACTCATTAATGGCATGTCAATTTTGTATTGGTTCATAGATTATATCTAAAATTGTAAGAGTAAATAAAATTAGAGCCTTAAAATTATTTTAATTGAATTTAAAAAAAAATGCAGCCCTAAATATTACTATTTCTTTGGGGACCCTAGGCAGAGCCTTAGTGGCCTATGCCTAGGGTCAACCTTCTCTCTCTCTCTCTATATATATATATATAGTAATTTTAAATTCTTTAATTTTATATATTTCTTAAATTATTATTATTTTTCTTTAAAACTCCTAAATTTTAGTATTTTTTTATATTAGAACTCTTTCATGTATATATATACACACATCGTATGTGATCAAATTAAAACTAATACAAAATCAAAATTCTTTAATTTTAGATATTTTTTAAGATAATTACTATTTCTCTACTATTATTGTGTATGTGTATATATATATATTTACAAAATGGATTCGAGTTATAGAAATGGTTTTCTAGAAGATGTAGGTTATATTGGGTCCATTAACCATCTCCAGACTTTGAGGTGGTTAGATTTTTGAATATTAAATATTAGTTTAGACTATTTATTATACGCATTTAATAATCGTGTCAATTTTATAATCGTTCGTGTCAAATTAGTGTCGGGTTTGTATCAACACGTTAGAGGTGATTGCCGCATCCCTGCCAACTTCCACTAACATCACGATTTGATACTACAAATCTAGACAATTATTGTGTTCAATCTTCGTCCTTTTAAGTTCGGACTGAGCTTTATTAACTTAGCACTAATGTTAAATCAATCCCGAATTTGATTTATTTGATACTTGAAGATGTATCTGCACATCTCGGTTTGAAGAGAATCAAGAGAAAAAAAAAAGAATCGAAATTGTTCGATATACTTCTCGAAACGAATGAAAAGAAGACGAAAGATGAAACATAAATCATGAATTAGTTCTCTTAGGTACAAAAAATGACCGAGTTTTAATTCAAATTGATTCTCTATTATATAAAAATATCTCAATTCATCTAGGGCATGTTTATTTGATGAGTTTAATAAAAACAGTCCAATAAATCATGATATTCCTTGTGTTGGTTATAAATTTGTGGTCTAAGATTAAAATTCTGACCCGTAATAAAATTTTAAGGTAAAACTCGTGCACATGTGTATTTGTATTACTTATCAAACATGAGATCAATCGGTTAGAGCACCACTAATCTAAGGAAAAAGAGTTACTTTGTGCCCTTTGATGACTCCAATAGGCATGCTGTACATTGCTGAATTTGTAGGTCTGTAAACTAATCTAAAAGGGTAGGCAAAAACAAATTGAGTTCCATTGGGATCGGGCAGTAAGGTTGCCAAAAAACAATTTAATTCGTCAAGCTGTCATTAACAACACGTGGCTTTAGAGCATGTTCATTTGGGGTAGGTATATTCATAACTTCACGCACACCCCCTATAATTATACATATATTTAATGACATCCCCAACATCTTCTGAAATTTCAATACACCTCCTTTTCAATTATAGTGTAGAGTCACTTAATTCCCTTTCCATTAACCGCACAAATAAAAAACGTGAATGATTTAATTTGATATTCTTCAAAAATACAAAAGCTACCCTTTCTTGTGTAAATAGACCAAAATACTTATACGCTGAATAGCATATAATTTTATGCACTTGTATTCATATGAAAAATACATACATTTTGGATGAAATTTTAATTTTTTGTTTATAATATATTTAGATTTATGAAATTGTTAAAGTCAGTTTTATGTAATGAAGATTGATTGTACATAAGAATTAAACTAAGCTTACTGACAGAAATGATTCAATCACACATAAGGATGTGATTATACGTATATTATACATTTATATATTTTTGTACTAGCATCCGGTGACAAGCACGGATATTTTTTGTCATTTTTTTAATTTTGTTTAAGAAGATAGATAAAAAAATAATACTCAATTTTTAAATGAATATTTTTTTTAAGAAAAGAGGGATTTGGAAATTGATTCCTAGGCCCAATAGGATTCCAAAAAAAAAAAAAATCTACTACTAAATTTCTTTTGAATTAGGTCTTTATCGAAGAGTCAAAGTAATGTACATAACTATCGCTCTTTACAATTGCAAAAAAATAACGACCATGTAATCACCTAATTTAAAAATCTTTTTCTAAAAAGTTACGTCATTATAATGTACATATATATATATATATCTTTGAGCTAAAAAATAATAGGTAAATAATAAAAAAATATAAAAAGTAACAGGTACAGCAAAATACAGATTGTCAAACAAGTACACTAAAATATAAATTATTAGATGTCATCATAATATCTAAATTACTTGTTTCAATAAGTTTGAATTTCAAAATTGATAGACAATGCCACAAAAATTTTAATAACAAATGCAAAAAAGAAAGAAAGAAAATAAACTAACTATAGTTTAGACTGAAATCATGTGATAATGACAAAATAGGTAATAAAAATTAGTAACTAACCAATCTCTTAACATTCGTGCCAACACAAAAACCTTTTTTTATGCTAAAAATTCAATAGGATGAAAATTAATTTACACACATAAAGAGGACCATAACACTTAATTTACTTAAAAAATAATATGATGTTATTGAGGAGTTGAAATGTATACAAAAGACATATGATAGAGTGTGATTGGATCGGGGTAATAATTAAAAAAATAGAGAATATGGAGGAAATACTTCTCAAATTTTCTCTCTTCTAATTCCTTTTGTGTGTATATATATATATATTAGGGGTAACTTATGCTTAAAGGTACATTAGAATGTGAATAATTTTGAAATAGATATTAGTGACTGTTACATGAATATATTTGAGACTCATATATACTAACATATTATATACTAAAATATTGTATATTGTATAACATATAATTATTGTTTATATGTATTATACATTAAATGGGTACTATGTGATATAAATATTTATGCACATTATATAATATGTTAGATTTTCAGGGTTATTATGGTAAAATAACAAGTTTTGTTATCTCCATCAGCGAACAAACTCTTATGGGGTGTAGATGAAATTTTAGATAATATAAGGGGTGTGTTTGAAAATAAAGTATTTTATAGGAGTATGGATAAAATTTTTCCAAAATCATATATATATATATATATATATATAATAAAATACATAACAATTTGAATTTTTATTCTCTACATATTATTCCC